CATAAGAAAGGATTTGATGCCACCAATGACACTTTTGATGAAAAGATCCGGGTTAAGATTTTGTCCTCAATTTAATAACCGCATATCGAACGAATTGAAATTTATAAATATATATATATATATATATATATATTCCTATATATGCTTTTCATAAAAGCATTATATATATATATATATATATATATATATATATATATATAACATATATATATAAGAAATATATGCTTTCATTTGAACGCTGTTTTTGTTCGATATGCGGTTATTCATGGAGACAGGAAGAGTATTTACACGCAAGTGAATGCAATTAATTTGACTGAATTACACACACACACACACACACATATATACATACACACACACAAACATACACATACACACACACACAAACACACACAACACACATGCATATATATATATATATATGAAAGAAAAATACAGAAAAAACAAAATTCTGAATATGCATTATTAATGTTAAAATAAAGTCGACGTCGGACGTTTCGGTCTATTTAAGACCATCTTCATGGACATTTTCATTTAAACATAATTAACATTATAACTTATAACAATTTAACACAAAAGACGATGGACATAAGAGCCCAACTAATTCAGACAGATAACTGAAATTTTATACAGATCAGCGTTCTGTTTAAATATGATCACGTAGTCGTCACGTGGGCGATGTTGTTAAGACGTATTCGAAGATGATTTCAAAAATTAAAAATATCAAAAGTCGAATGAAAAATTTTTATAAACAATTAAAGAAATCTCTTCCGTTGATGTTGGAATACGTAGTGATCAATTGGTTCTTATATCTTCAACAAGCTTGAAAGTCTTTCCGTTACAATGCAAATCAAAAGTGATTTTAAAACGATGGAACAGTTCTAAAAAACAGTTCGATAAAAATTCCATTCTTTACTTGATCAATAGATTCCCTCGTCCTCGTTTTGTGTTAAATTGTTATAAGTTATAATGTTAATTATGTTTAAATGAAAATGTCCATGAAGATGGTCTTAAATAGACCGAAACGTCCGACGTCGACTTTATTTTAACATTAATAATGCATATTCAGAATTTTGTTTTTCTGTATTTTTCTTTAATACTGTTTCGGATTTATATCCATATATTTGCTTTACACATATATATATATATATATATATATATATATATATATATATTCGAAATCGGTTGGTATTGTTGGATTTTAATTGTATATATATATGTATATATATATATGTGTGTGTATGTGTGTGTGTGTCTGTGTGTGTGTGTGTGTGTGTGTGTGTGTGTGTAATGATAACAATATTATGGATCTAATATAGATATATATAAAAACAAACAAATAAATAGATACCCTCTGAAGTCTGGGCATTGGAATGTAATAATCTAAGGTAATTTAATTTGAACCCAAGGCATTTTACCCACACATAAAATTGTCATGCATCGTTTATAAATTCCCCTTTACTTTTTATTTTGGATGCTAATAGACATCCGACAAACAACCACACATACACACATAGACATCCCCACACACACACACACACACACACACACACATATATATATATATATATATATATATATATATATATATATATATGTTCGTTGATTTCTTGGTTAAATGCTAACTTTTTTTTTTTCCTTGTTTTCTTTTTATTTCGTTTTGTTTTATTTTTTTTTGTTTCTTTTTGTTTTTCCCTGTTTTCTTTTTGTTTCTTTTTGTGTTTTTTTTCTTTCCGTTTTCTTTTTGTTTCTTTTGTTTTCTTCTTGTTTCTTTTTTTTTTCCTGTTTTCTTTTTGTTTCTTTTTGTGTTTTTTTTGTTTCTTTTTGTTTCTTTTGTTTTCTTCTTGTTTCTTTTTTTTTCCTGTTTTCTTTTTGTTTCTTTTTGTGTTTTTGCTTTCTTTCCGTTTTCTTTTTGTTTCTTTTGTTTTCTTTTTTGTTTTCTTTTCTGTTTTCTTTTTGTTTCCTTTTTGTTTCTTTGTCTTTCTTTCTGTTTTCTTCAAAAGTCGTTAATGCAATATTCAATCCAAGAATATGTTTTGGCTTTAAATAACACAGAAAGGGTTCAGAACCCTTATTAAAAAAAAATCAATCATACAATGGGTGATCTGATGTCTGTGTGGTAGTTAGGCTTTCTTTGTCTGATACCTGGATTTCTTTGCGAAGCTGGACGTTTGAAATTATATAGAATGACGTCATACGTAATGGCTTTTTGGGAATGAGGCTGAACATAAAAGATTTATTTATTTATTAATTTAATTCAAATTTTTATTTATTTTTTAATATAATAAAATATTTGTGTATATTAATTATATCTACTTTAAGATACCTTCTTCTGACGTGAATTATATTTTATTTAATGTGAAGTGTTTGTTTTGTATAGCTTCTAGACTTTTAAGTCTTTCCTTGCATTGAGTGCTATACAGTATTACGTTATATGGGGCGAGGATATACATCTATTTCAACCAACGAGAAATACATTAGTCTTATTCAACCCCGGTGTATAGACTGTGTTCATATCGGAATTAGAAATTAAAAATTTAATTTTGACAGCAATCGAAAAATGAATACAGAATTTATCAATTTCGATGTTTTCAGTCAGATGAAATGCCCGAGTCGGTGACAAGGGGAGGGTGGAAAGTATTAGCCTTAAAAGGAAGAGGTTTTATCAAATTAACCCGGGTATTAATCATATGACATTAAATTGGGGTTATATAAAAATGAGGTGTTGAATTGAAACTAAAAGAGGGCCGAAAAGAGTTTTATATTAAAAAAAAAAATTAATTTATATAAAAAGTTAGGGTCCTACTCAAAAAATACCGAATCATACTTAAAAATTAGATATATTAAAAAGATTAACAATAATACATATTATGAAATGGACAAAGTCCGGTAATTATTTTAAGACTTTTTTATGTTTAAACATTCTTTTTATAGATACAAATATTTAAATAAATGCTCTGTTTATAATTATGCCTGAGTGTTCGAGAAATTTTCATAGAAAATATGCGTCCTCCGACAGGAATCGAACCTGTATTCTATACGGAACCAAATACATTTCATAATGTGTTTGGCTCCGTATAGGATACAGAACCAAACACATTTCATAATGTGCGACATCATTTGTTTACATTTGGATTCGCATCGAGCAGATATGAATGTACGAGTGAAAATCATGGAGAATTGTAGTTTAAAAACAGTAAACTCAACCTTCCTAATCGAAACGGTCCTCTGTAGTTCAATCGGTAAAAGCACATCAGGCTATATGACGGTTCCGTATAGGATACAGGTTCGATTCCTGTCTTAAATATTTGTATCTATAAAAGAACGTATAAACATTAAAAATGTCCTTATATATATATATATATATATATATATATATATATATATATATATGTACAATCAATTATATCATATGCGCTTCAAGATTATTTACTGTTGGGTATTTATTCTGTATATTAAGAGCTTCTAGATTTTTGAGTCTTTCCTTGCATTGGAATCTGTAATTTTTTTTGGTGTTTTCTACTAACATTTGTCGTTCATATATATATATAGATAGATAGATAGATAGATAGATAGATATTTACAAGTATAGGATTGGTATAGTCAGTCAGTTATGTGCCATACATGATACACGCTTAGGCGATCATGTATCTTTCAATTTATGACTGACGAGGCAGATTTTTCCCGCAGTAGGTTGCTATTTCCTTCTGCGATAGACCAATTGTCATCCCAGACTATAGAACCCGGTCTATCCTGATATTTATCCATAGCTGGGGAGGGGGAGAAGAGGATGCATACCTTTCTCGAGGGTATTATTACATAGACAGAATAAAATTCTACTAACAAAAACACTATTTTTAAAAGAGTACTCAATACAGAGTAGAGCAAATAGTATTTATTCAAAAATAGTGTCTTTCTTTTTCAGGACATTCCAAATTGTTGTGTTGGCTATACCCAATGTTTGTCCAATGGCTCTTATCGATTTTCTTTCTTTTCTCATTTTCAA